AATGGAGCACTGGGTGTTATACGCAAACAATGAATCATGGAACACTACATCAAAAACTAATGATGTAACGTATGGTGATTAACATAACATAATAATAATGAAAAAAATATACACACTGTCAAAGTTAAAAAAAAAAAAATAGTTTTGCTCAGTGCCTGCCTCCTCCCACCCCCCATCCAAAAAGTTTAAAGCACAATGTCTACTGTTGAATACTTTTTTTGGAGAGTATCTCTGTATTCCTCTCAATATAATCACTTACATGAATGATCAATGTCATGGACTTCCTGGGAAGTCCTGGTGGCTTCAGAAGAAAGATGCTATGATCTATGTGAATATATTCTACCACTGCCTATTTTTTTGATCTAAAAAAAACCATTCAGTATCATTCCTCTTAAAAATGACTAATTCCCATGTTCAAATATGAACATATAGGTTCTATTTCTATTTTCCCACCCAACATTTCTAAATCAGCTTCTAAGATAAAATTACTAACATATCTGCTATAGAAGAGGACTGCAAACTCAGGGATTCCTAGCAGCGTGCATTCCTATTCAGTACGAGAAAATAGAGATAAAATTTAGTTATTGTTAATAATAAGCTTAGCCTAGTGGTCTATAATATAGTGATTAATAACAAAAAATATGTACTTGGTCCTGGCAGAGCTTCTAAGACCACTGAAATTTTCTAAATGATAAGAGTAGTACTAAAAAAAAAAAAAAAAAAAAGAGTGGTACTGATAAGGGCCATCTCTTGTTATTCATAGCAAACCCCAATCAACCATATCTGAATTTATGTTAATGAAGTGACTTTTGGAAAGCTCCTAAGGATGGGGACTGGTTGCCAGGGAGAAAGAACAGTGATTTGGGGTTTGAAATGTTCAGACCCACCCCAATCACCAGGGAGGGGAAAGGGGCTTGGAGGACGACCTAATCACCGATGGCCAATGATTTAACCAGTCATGCCCATGTAATGAAAACTCCATCAAAAGGATGGGGTTTAGGGCTTCCAGGTGCTGGAAGAGTGGCACATACCAAACTCCACAGGGACTGAAGCTCCTGTGCTCAGGACTCTTCCCGACACTACCCTATGTGCTTTTCATCAGGATGTTCATTTGTATGCTTGAATATTCTTTGTAATAAGCCAGTAATCTAGCAAATAAACAGTTTTCCTGTGACACATTCCAGCAATTTAATTAAACATGAGGGGGTCATAGGAACCTCTGATCTATAGCCAGTTGGTAAAAAGCACAAGTAACAAACTGTACTTGCAATTAGTGTTTGGAATGGTGAGTGAGGAGGGGCAATATTGTGGGGCTGAACTCAACCTGTTGGATCTGAGGCTATCACCAGGTAAACAGAATTAGAATTGAGTTAAACTGTAGGAGAGGCATCAGTCGGTTGAGCATTCAACTCAGTCTCAGGGTCATCAGTTCAAGCCCCACATTGGGTGTAGAGGTTACTCAAAAAATAAATAAAAATTTTTTTTTTAAATTCTAGGACCGCCAGCTGAATTGCTTGATATGTGGAAAACCCACACATCTAGGGTCCAGAGTGAAGCAGTTAATTAGTAGAATATGGAGAGTAAAGGAAACACAGGAGGAGGAGGATTTTTTCCGAGGCATTATCCTTCAAATCCTTCTCTAATTCTGAGGGTGTCACTGATTCCCCTTCAATGTTTCTCTCAGCTTTGAGACCTGTCCCTCTGTCTGTCCTACCCCAGGAAAAGGTGCTCTACCATCTAGATTTACCTCTCAACCCTCTTCACAACAAAAACCTCCATTTTGTCAGCTAAGATTATTTCAGAGGTTAGAGGAAATCACAATTAATTCACTCTAGCGGGGCGCCTGGGTGGCTCAGTTGGTTAAGCGACTGCCTTCGGCTCAGGTCATGATCCTGGAGTCCCGGGATCGAGTCCCGCATCGGGCTCCCTGCTTGGCAGGGAGTCTGCTTCTCCCTCTGACCCTCCCCCTCTCATGCTCTCCCTCTCTCTGTCATTCTCGCTCTCAAATAAATAAATAAAATTAAAAAAAAAAAAAAATTCACTCTAGCAAATGAATGGTAATTCTTTAATAAATCCTGGAATAGGCTTCACATTTAAAAGCGCATCCTAACTGGGGGGTGCCTGGGTGGCTAGTCGGTTAAGCATCTGGACTCTTGATTTCCAGTCTGGTCGCGATCTCAGGGTGGTGAGATTGAGCCCCATGTCAGTCAGGCTCTGTGCTCAGCGCAGAGTCTGCTTAACATTCTCTCTCTCTCAAATTAAAAAAAAAAAGCTTATCCTAATAAATCTGAACGTTAAGTGGAAACATTCAGACAGAAGGGGGAGTTTTTTAATATAAGGAAATAGGTTTGTTTTGGCAAGTGGAAAATGAAAAAAACAAAATAGGCTTAAATGTGAGGCTTCAATTCTGAAACTATAATTTCTATACTATAGTATCAAAAGTTTATCTTGATTTATCCCCAAAATACGGCCCAAAAAAGACAAAAATCATTATTTTTATTAAAGGCAGAAAGTCTCATAGGAGTGTCACAACTATCTTGGCCAGCTGCAGTGAAAACCCAGTGGTAAGCCTGGAGCAATTGAGCAAATACGGTATATGCCTGTGCCTCACTCTTCTTTTTTTTTTTTTTAAGACTTTATTTCTTTGACAGAGAGAGACACAGCAAGAGAGGGAACACAAGCAGGGGGAGTGGGAGAGGGAGAAGCAGGCTTCCCGCCGAGCAGGGAGCCGGATGCGGGGCTCAATCCCAGAACCCTGGGATCATGACCTGAGCCGAAAGCAGACGCTCAACGACTGAGCCACCCAGGCGCCCCTGTGCCTCACTCTTCTGAGTAGACAGCTATTTTCAGAGACTAACAGTATATTTAACAAAAACATTACTACCAACACAAATCAAAGGCACATATGAGCAATTCTTTTACTTATTTTTTTTTAAATGTTGTAATGACCTGTTTATTATTTGTCTTCCTCAAAGGAGTGCCCCTGGCAGCCAGGGACCCACTTCTATCATCTTTGTATTTACCAAGGGCTCAGCCTTGCACACAGAAGATGGTTAATAAACAAATTAAAGTTGTAAAATGGAAATAAAACACTCTTCCAAATGCGTATCAAGATATATTTCCCAGATTCCTTTTCTCCTGTCTCTAAGAACCCTTATAAGACTTACAAACATAAGAATAGAGGAAGGGAGTTAAGGTGTCTTATTTTTACCAACATATCATTTGCAAAGTTGCTTTGAGATTCCCTGGGGTATTTAAAGTATAACTTTATTTAACTGAGTGAAATGGAAGCATAGTATTGCCCCCATCTGTCTATAAATCATAAAAATAATACCCAACTCAATGAGTAACAACACAGCTTCAGTTCATGGAGTGCTATCAACGTTTTGGCATAAACCTTGCTCTACAGTCTACCTATTAGAGTAGGTGGAGCTATTTATCCTAGACCAACACATAAACTTCCCCCAAGACATGCTAACTTTTTTGATATTAATGGAGAAGTTTAAATCTGCTCACCACTAAATCACAGCAGAACAGTGTCATTAAATAAACTTGGGCAATCCCAGAAGCTGAAGCAAAATTATTACATTTGAGCATACCAAATCCAGAATTATTTGCTCAAACACAACTCTGGAAGTTCATAAAATTTTTCCACAGACCTGCAAAGACACACTATGCCTTTTGACTTAGTGTTGGCCCATCTCATGTACTGAAAATGATGGCTACCTACTGGAGGCTGGGAAAATACAGGGCAGGGAGAAGATAAAGTGCAAGTCTAGACTCTACCACTAGGTGGACCATGATCTTCACCTCTCTGGGCCCCACCCAGTTTCTTCAGCTACAAAAAGAAGGGGCTGTTTTGGGTGAGCCCCAAGGTCCACTTCAACCCTCTCAATCTTAGTAGAAGATATAAGCAGAGCTATATTCAATTCTGAATTATGCTAAACTCACTCACTTGGAAAGAGAAAGAACTGCTCAAGATAAGTGGGGCTGCTCTTAGGTTCTACAGAAGGGGTTCTTTCCAAAGAATTGATTTCCCTCATTTACTGGGCTACAAATCAGTGAAAATTGTCAGCAGTGGAGCAAGGAAAGGTAGTAGCCATTAAATGATATTTGATCTTTTTTCTGCTAAATGACTATTAAAGAGATCTTTTTAAAGGGGGTAAGGGGGGCGCGTGGGTAGCTCAGTCGGTTAAGCATCTGCCTCTGGCTCAGGTCATGATCTCAGGGTCCTGGGATGGAGCCCTGCATTGGGCTCCCTGCTCAGCGGGAAGCCTCCTTCTCCCTCTCCCTCTGCTGCTCCCCCTGCTTGTGCTCTCTCACTGTCAAATAAATAAAATCTTTAAAAAAAAAAAAGGAGAGGGGGAGTAAAGGTGAGCTATGGGGCAAGCCCACAAACAGTATTTATAAGATGTACTAACAGGGAAAAAAAATGGGGGCATTCCTGGTTTACCCCCCTGGTTCACCCCCAGGGCCGCAGGTTCGGTGAATTAGAATACGTTAATCTCATCACTTTTCCTACTCTTACCACCTACTCCTCAGAGATTTTTCTAGAATAACCTAAAAATACTCTAAGCAAAAGGAAAATAACTATAGTTTCAGTCATGAGAAAATAAGCATCTTTCCCACACAAATGTCCCCAGTTAACTTCTATTGTGTGTGTTTTTTTTTTTTAAAGTAAGCTCTATGTTCAATGTCGGGCTGGAACTCACAATCCCAAGATCAAGAGCTTGAACTCAATCAAGAGTCATATGCTCCATCCACTAAGCCAGCCAGGCGCCCCTCAGTTAACTTTCAAATGCAAGAGTCAGTGAAGACAGAAGCCCGATACATGAGGAAATCTGCTTCAGATGCTGCTCTCAGTGCTGAATAAAAGCTAAATATTGAGAGTTCACAAGGTCATTGAAGAGAAAATTTCCAGCAAAACGCACATCCAAGTGTTGCTAAATAACAAACTGCCCCAAGAGACTGAAAAGGTATGCTTGGCAGCTTCTCAGGACCAAGCAATCAAATAATTACTAGTAACGAGATCTACACCACCACGTCCAAGCTGTATGAACGCTCAACTCTTTGTAGACTTCAGGCAAGGAAACAAAAGGAGTGCAGTGTTGCTGCCGGAGACCCTAAAGACGACGACCTCAGGGAACTCCCCTGAGCTGCTACAAACACCCCCACCCACACGCTGCCCGGGGGGCCACGCTGTTAGTGCAGGGTTTTCTTGCTTCGAGGGAACACCAGTCACTTCCTTATCTTCGTTTTTCTGGTGGAGTAAATATTGTGATAACGTTACTTTCAGTTTCACCAAATGCTAGGAAACCCAAAGCGGGTTTCTAGCCTGAACTGGGAAAGGCGTGATTTACTGCTGGAGGAAAAGTACGAATGCAATGGCAAGCCAAAAAGAAAAGCCACGGACCCTAGCTCTCCTGCAGCAAACAGGATCCAGACGCGCCGCCACACCCGGTCTACACTGGAGGGCGCAGGGAAGCGTACAAAGCTCCACCTCCGGGGCTCCTCCACACTCCTCCTCTCAAGCAAGGTACGGACGTTTGTAAGCGACCACGTGGGACCAAGGCGCCTTACCTGGGAATGATTCACTTGCATACAAGTGTCATCACTTCAAAGACCTGTCACAGCCTGGCCTACGGGCCGGCCTCCCCCACGGCACCCTCCTCACGCGGGTCTGCGCCTCCGGAGGGGCAGCGACCCCCGGCCTGCAGGGCTGATACAGAACCCAGCACACAACCGGGCCACGGCTGCGGGGGACCAAAAAGGTGATTCAGCAGCTCCGCCGCGGCGCGCCCTGGACGGACAGGCGCCCTCGACGGCGACCCGGCCGCGGTGGGGGTGGCGGGCCTTCCTGGTCGGACCGCGCACCGGCCCTGACCCCGACCCGCTCGGCGAACGAACGCCATCGCCCGCGACACAGCCGGGGGGGTGTTGGAGGGGGGCTCCCAGGGTCCCACCCGCTGAGGCCCCGGCCTCCCAGCCCACGCCGGCCCCGGCCCCGACCCGGAGCGGACGGACGGCCGCCCTCGCCCGAGACCCGGCCGATGGGGGGGGGCTCCCTGGGTCCGACCGCTCAGGCCCCGGCCCCCCGGCCCTACGTCGGCCCCTGGCCCCGACCCGGAGCGGGCGGACGGCCGCCCTCGCCCGAGACCCGGCCGACCGAGGGAGGGGACTTCCAGGGTCCGACCCCTCTCAGGCCCCGGCCCCCTCAACCCCTCAGGCCCCCCCGGCCCCGACACCGATCCCCTCAGCCCTCGGTCAACCCCGACTCTCCCCACCCCCCGACTCCACAACGCCGTCGGCCCCCGGCCCCTCAGCCGTCCCCCCGGTCCGCCGTCGCCATCCCCGGCCACCTTAGGTCCTCGCCTCCGACCCTCCTGAGTCCCACCCCGTCCAGCCCCACATGAAACCCCGTTGCCCCCTCAGCCCGCCGTCGGCCCTCGCCCCGGCCGTCGCCGACCCCAGCCGCCCTGGGTCGCCGCTTCAGCGCCCCCTCCGGCGCGCGCACCACCCCCCACGCCGCGGCACCCACCGAAGGTGCGGCGCTGCTTGAAGGTCTTCTCAGACGGCATGGCGCGGGCGGCGAAGCGGAGGCGGTGAGGCGGAGGGTCCCGGCTGCTGCAGGCGGTGGCGGCGGCAGCAGAAGCTCCTCGACTGTGGCGACAGCGACTTCCCTTGTGTCTCTTCAGCCCGCAGCTGCGTCAGGTGACCGGCGCGGCGTCCCGGGGGGCGGGGCCAAGGCCGTTTGCCGCCGCCG